AGGTGTTCGCTGGAGGCAGGGCCGGCATCTGGGAAGGACGAGGTAGGGAAGGAAAGGGAGGAAGCCTTTGGCTTTGCACAAATCTGCAAATCCTTGGAACGGAGTCACTGTGTCCACTCCACTGACTCTAGGCTTGGCTGGAGTGAGGGGAGGTGGTGTTTCCCGGGTCAAAGCTGTATGCTAAAGCTGCGTTTATAGTTTGCTCTGTAACCCTGGAGCCTCTGCCCTCCGCCATGAGAATAGCATGCTCCCTGCGTAAGAGTCCTGTACAGACCCAAACTCCACCAGCAACCAGGGGCCTCATCCAGCCAATCCCAGCAAAGCCAACAAGAGCCCTAGGTAACCCACAGAGCCCCAGGAAGAAGAAATAATGCTTTTTCTGTAAGCCATTGAGCCTGGGGCTGTGTTACTCAGTGTGATTGCTGCCGATGGCTGCCTAATACACCTGATTTGTTGGAGCCAAAGCTGGTGTGTTCCACCACACCACCCTGCTTCCCGGGAATTAGAGAGCCTTGAAGAACTGCACAGCCCCCTCGAAAACTGAAGCCCTGTTGTCATTGTTATTAATTCCCTCAAATTCCTCATTCCTTACAGCTGCAACTAAGCCTTTTTCTTTCCTTAAGTCAGAAAAGAACCAAAGCAAATAACTGAGATTTCAGCTCCATTAATTTTTCAGGGCACCATAAATTAAAGAGCAATTGCAATGCAGTCAATTTCTGCGGGAAAATAAGTCTCCGTGATTGTGCTTTAGTCTAATTACATGGAAGGCTAAGTAGCGCTATTAATACCCAGAAGCACAAGCTATCCTCAAGGAAGGTGCCAGGAGCAAAGAGGCAGCCCAGGAAGCTGGGAAATGCAGACACCAGTCAGGGAAGACCAAACCTTGGCAAGGGGGCCAGGTCCTGTCGAGAGCCATGGCAAAGCCCAGCCAGGAATCTTCACTTGTGGACCACTCACCTGGACAGTCCCTATTGGTAGAAATTTATCATTCATTCATCTAACAAACTGTCTGCCATTCATCCATCATCCATCCACCATCCATCTATCCATCCATCTGTCCATCCATCCATCATCCATCCCTATCCACCCATCTATCCATCCATCTTCCATTCATCCACACATCTATCCATCTACCACCCCCATCCATCCATCCACCATCCATCTATCCATTCATCCACCCATCCATCCATCTATCATCCATCCATCCACCCATCCAACTGTCCACCCACCCATGCAACCACCTATCCATCCATCCCCATCCACCCACCCATCTACCCATCCATCCATCCCCATCCACCCATCCATCCATCCCCATCTACCCATCCATCCATCTGTCCACCCACCCATGCAACCACCTATCCATCCATCCCCATCCGCCCACCCATTCATCCACCCATTCATCCCCATTTACCCATCCATTCATCCATCCATCCATCCACCCATCCACCATCCATCCATCCCTATCCATCCCCTACCTATCCATCCATCCCCATCCATCTACCCACTCATCTACCCATTCATCCCAATTTTCCCATCCATTCCCATCCATCCATTCATCCATCCATCTACCCATCTATTCATGTACCCATCCATCCATCCCCATCCATCCATCCACTCTACACGTATCCACCATCCATCCCCATCTACCCATCCACCCATCCATCTACCCATTCATCTACCCACCCATCCATCCACTCATCCATCCATCCTCATCCACCCATCCATCCACCCACCCATCCATCCCCATCAACCTTCTATCCATCCATCCATCCATCCACCCACCCTACATCCATCCACCATCCATCCCATCCACTCATCCACCCATCCATCCATCTACCCCCATCCACTCATCCACCCATCCATTCATCTACCCACCCATCTATCCCCATCCATCCATTCATCCATCCTCCCATCCATCCACCCATCTATCCTACACCCATCCACCATCCATCCACATCCACCCATCCACCCACCCATCCATCCATCCACCCACCCTACACCCATCTGCCATCCATCCCCATCCACCCATCCACCCATCCATCTACCCAACCATCCATCTATCCACCCTCCCATCCATCCCCATTCATCCATCCATCTACCCACCCATCCATCCCCATCCATCCATCCACCCACCCTACACCCATCCACCATCCATCCCCATCTACCCATCCATCCATCTATCCACCCACCCATCCATCCCCATCCATCTATCCATCATCTATATATCTATCCATTCATTCATCTGTCCATCTCTCCTTACCCATTCATCCATCTACCCACCCACCCTCAATCTATTCATCCAACTAATATTTTCAGCCAGACAATTTAGATTAAAATGGTGAAAAAGACCAGACACCTTCCCTGCCTTCAAGGAGCTTGCCCCAAGTGTGTATATTGGGTATAGACAATAATCAAATGATTGCACAAATATATAGTTACCTGACATGGTTTGGCTCTGTGTCCCACCCAAATCTCATCTCAAATTGTAATTCCCATGCATGGAGGAATGAACCTGGTGGGAGGTGACTGGCTCACAGGGGCAGTTTCCCCCACACTGTTCTTGTGTGATAGTGAGTGACTTCTCATGAGATCTGATGGTTTAAAAGTATTTTTGAGTTCCCAACCTGCGCTCTCTCTCTCCTGATGTCTTGTGAAGATGATGCCTGCTTCCCCTTCCCCTTCCACCATGATTAAGTTTCCTGAGGCCTCCTCACCCATGCAGAACTTTGAGTCAATTAAACCTCTTTCTTTGTAAATCAGTCTCAGGTAGTTCTTTACAGTAACGTGGATATGGACTAACAGATACCCATGGTGATCAGTGTTGAGAAAGAGAAGCACAGGAGCATGGAAGAGTGTAAAATGCTGGGGCCCAAGCTGGCCTAGGGTGCACAGGGAAGGCTGCCGATGTGGGCGGCTTCCGTTTGCCCTCCAGGTTCATGCTGGCTCTTTCCAACCCTTCTCTGACCCTGGGAGCTGACCTATGTAGACAGATCCACCCTTCGCTGGCCCTGAGACTGACCTTTTTCCTCTAGCCTCCGGTTGGAGTCAGCCTGTGGGAAGCCTCAGTGCACTGGAGAGAGACAGACATGTGCTATTCCTCTTGTTCCCTGACCATTCAGCCCAGTTTGGCTCAGTTGTTCCACCCAGAGCTGGGCCTCCTACTGGAACCCTTCCTGCAACTGTGCAGCCCACACCTCCAATTGGGCAGAGGTGCTAGGTTCAGAGTGGCCCCAAAAGGTATCCATGTCCTAATCCTTAGAACCTGTAGCCATCACCTCACAGGGCAGAAAGGGAGCCTGCAGATGGGACTGTTGAGGTCTCCAGATGTGAAGATTACCCAGGCTATCTGCATGGGCCCCAAACAAAATCCCAAGTCCTTACAGAAAGCAGGGGCAGAGGGAGATTCACACACACACACGCACACACACACTCACACATGCACTCACCTACACACTCATGCACACTCACACAAACACCACACATGCTCACATAGGCTCTCACCCACACACACTCGTGTACACTCCTACAAATACCCACACACGCTCACATAGGCTCTCACACTCACATACCCACACCCCAACATGCTCACATACAGTTTCACACTTCCAAATAACCACACACTCACAGGCTCTCACACATGCACACCCCCATCCACACCCCCACTCACATGCACTTTCACACATATGCTCACATCCACACCCACACTCACCCATTCTCACACTTAAACACACCCACACCCACAAACTCACATACACTTTCATGCAATCACCCTCTTACATCCACACACATTCACACACTCAAATACACCCTTATATCCATGCTGTCACACTCAAACACAACTTCACCCACACACATACCCACTCACATACACTTTCACACCCACAGCCACATACGCTCATACATTCACAGTCACACCCACACCCATGAACACATATGTGAACACACATTCACATCCACACCTACTCTCATATACACATTTACACACACATTAACAGACTCCCACACACCTACACACCACATTCACAAACACATTCACATTCACACATTCACACACATTCACCCAGGCACACACATTTACACTAACCCCCACCAGCTACAAACCAACACCTTCACACATGTTCACACCCACCACACACACATTCACACTCACCCACTCACAATGGCACACCCATGCACTCACACACACATGCACACACACAGTAGGCAGTGTGGAGGTGGGGCAGAGGGAGGTGTGAGGACACCCTGAAGGAGATACTGGCAGCTGCCAACAGCTGGAAGAGGCAGGTCGTACTCCTCCCTAGAGCCCAGTGGGAGTGCGCCCCACTGACACCTTGATCTTGGGCCAGCGACACTGGTTTGGGACTGTGGGCCCCCAGGACTGTGAGAGAGTAAGTTTCTGTTGCTCTAAGCCAGCAGCCTGTGGCCATTTGTTCCCACAAAGCCCTCCCCAGCCTCAGAACCCACGTGGGTGGCCCCCAGCTCCCCACTCTCCCGGGGACGGGGCCTCAGTTCTCTGCTGAGCCCCATAGATACAGCTCCCAGAGGAGGGGATGCTGATTTGGGGTCTGAAGAACAAGCCACCACCCTTAGTGAGGGTGGAAGAGATTTCAGGCTGAGGGAAAGGCCCTGTGAGGCCTGGTGAGGGTGTCAGGAATGTTCCAGAAGTGGAGAAAGGCCTTGTGACTGGTGGGCAGAGAGGGATGGTGATGGGCATGATCCTCATCGCCTGCCACTCACTGGCTCCTCTCCAACCTCTGAGCCCCATGCTCCACCCACCACCACTTCATTCAGCTCCCACGGCACAGCAAAGCAGGCGAGGTCCCTCGAGGTTGCACCAAGGAGGGCGATGGTCCAGCATCCCAGCTGGCAGCCCCGGGAGGCTCCTCCTCAAGCAGCCCAGGGGCTCTGGGTCCCACGTGCTCCAAGCAGGCACTCGCCTCTGGGTGGGTGGAGCGAACCCCAGCCCCACAGAGCACGCCAGTGGCACCCACACATCTTACCTTGCTCTCCCTTGTGTAGGCGAGGATCTTGTCTTCCTCCTTGGGATGAAAAATCAGTGTTTCCACGAAGAAGGGAACGGGCTGCTTCTGAAAGGTGGCGCCTTCGTCCGTGCTGAGGAATAGGCTCTGGTCCCCGTCACTGAGTGAGGAGCTGACGAGGATAACCTGAAACACAGTGGGTGGTGAGGCCTGGGCAGGGAGCGCCTCTCCCCAACCACTGACACCAGGGAAGAGTGCCCAGAAGGGCAGCCTGTTCCCAGCCCGGCCGGCTCAGCCTAACTGTAGCCATCCATTCACGGGGTACCCGGGCCGGCCCTCACCCCTGCAACCAGGGAGGAGATGTCAAGAAATGGCGGGTTCACTCCCAACCTGGCCGGCTCAGTGCCGATCACAGCCATTTATTCACTCATTCACCCATTCATTCATCAAGTGCCTGGGAGGGGTGCCCAGAAATGGCGGGTCCATCCCCAACCTGGCCGGCTCAGTGCCAATCACAGCCATTTATTCACTCATTCATCTATTCATTCATGGAGTGTCTGGCCCTGGTTTCACACACCAGGGAGGGGTGCCCAGAAATGGCAGGTCCACTCCCAACTCAGCCGACTCAGCCTAACTGCAGCCATACATTCATGCATTCATTCATTCACTAATTCATTCATTCATAAGTACCTGGGCTGGGCCCCCCCACACATCAGAGAGGGGGTACCACAGAAATGGTAGGTCCCACCCAAACCCAGCTGGCTCAGTGCTAATCATAGCCTTTCATTCATTCATTCATTTATTCATTCATGGAGTGCAGGGCACTGTTCTGGACGCTGAGGCTCCACTGTAAATGCAGGGTTCATGGCCTCTGCCCTGAATGTGAATCCATTCCAGAGAGCCAAGACAGGTGAACACTCAGAGACCCTGTCTAAAGCTCTGTCTCAGGGACAGCTGCTCCAAAGCAGGACCAGGACAGATGGGGAGGTAGTGACTGGGTGGGGCCCACTACTTCCAGCAGAGGAGAACGCTGAGCCGGGGTCCCTGGGGAACTCAGGGGCAGGCCCGAGGGGCTGATGTAGGGATGGAGAGGGGAGGCAGACATGGGGCTGGAGCAGCAGCCAGGGCTCAGGCCTAACAGGCCTCAGAGGTACAGTGGATTGTATGGTGACCCCAGAAAGATTTGTCAACATCCCTACCCCCAGTACTTGTGACTGATCTCACTTGGAAATAGGGACTTTGGAGACGTGGCTAAGCATCTCAGGATGAAGCCATCTGGATTTGCGGTAGACCCTAAATTCAATAACGGGTGTCCTTATAAGGAGAGGGAAGGTGGGAATGCAGACAGAAGGTGACACACAGGCAGAGGCGGAGATGGGGGACGCATCTGCAGGTCACCACGGCTGTGAACTGCCAGCAGCACAGAAACCTGGGAGTGGTACAGAACGAAGAGTCCCTCTGAACCCCTAGACGGAACCAGCCCAGCAGACATGTTGGACTCCCAGCCTCCAGACTGTGAGGGGATACACGGCTGCTATTTTCAGCCCCCACGTGTGTGGGTCTTTGCCACGGCAGCCCCAGTAAATACACCCAAGAGCTCTGCCAACTGGGGATCCTACTATTTGGGGCGGGAGGTCTCCAGGGAGGCGTGAGGAAGGGAGGGGGTGGGCTCGTTTAGGTTTTCAAAGGGGCCACACAGGAGTGGGTCATTTCGGAGGAGATCCCCTTATCCTGGCTGGATTTGGTGGCTTGGTGAGATTCAGGATATCACATCTCTACATTCGGAATGACAGAGACCCAGACACTCACGGGGGCCCCGGGGCCACTTTGTTTTGCAATTGGCAGACAAGGCGGCAGATAAAACTTACCTGAGGTCACACAGCCATGGAATTTGAACCAGGTTACCCAGAGACTCAGTGTGCACCCCTCACTCCAACCCTACGAGCACACAGGGTCTATTCGTTCATTCCCTCATTCAACAAACATGTAGAGTCCTGGCCTACACAGGCACTGGGGCCTGCAGGGATGGGGGTGAGGCAGGAGAACAGCTGCGGCTGTACTGGACATGTTTCTCGTCCTAACGGGGGACCCAAAGCAAGTCCCAAAGGAACTATCCCTTTGGAGTCAAACACTGGAGTCCAGAGCACTGTTCTTAGCCACATGCTATGGGTGCGCCCATGCAGGATGGGGCATTGAAGCTGGGCCTCACTCGGGGCTGGGTGGGACCAGTCCTGCCGAAGATGAGCACAGCTTTCCTGGGAAGGACAGTGGGCAATGGCACGAGGTGACTACGGTGGCCTTCCCAGACCGCAAGGTATGTCCAGAAGACAATTAAGCTCACGGAGCAAAAATCAATAGGCTGCACACTGCGCCTGCCTTTAAGTGAATGATGGTGATTCCATAGATTCCTTCCAGGGAAACCTTCATGAACTCCCCAGCTATGGTCATTAATCTCCATCAGCACAAAACCCTGCCTTCCCAGCACACCAGGGGCCTGACAGAGACCAGCGTGGCCTCCGTGGAGAGCGATTCCTTGGACAACTTTGGTCCCTGAAATGGGGACGTGGTGCATGCTCAGAGCTGTGCCTCTTGGTGTGGTTTATCCATAGGAAAAAATACGAGGAGGAGCTGAGGGCCGGTGAGGGGAGCCTTCCCATTACGTCATAATGTTGGCAGAGAACACGTAACCACTGGGGAGCTTCTGTGCTCACGATGAAAGGACAGTGCAAGATGACAAGGAAGCATTCTACTGCACACACCACACTGACACACGGGAAAGCCATCTGTTACAATTCTGTTAGTGGCAAGTGACTGGAGAAGTAGGTATGACTTTATCAAGGGGAAGGGCCCAGAAATGAGAACGGAAGGCAGCTTGGTGGGACATAACAGCAATCAGCCTAAGTGGCGGAACCAGCAGGGATTTAGTTTTTCACTTGGATACAATCGTTTCAGATTTACAGAAAAGTTGCAGATAGCCCAGGGAGCTCCCTGCTGGCTGGGGACAATGAGGCACAGGGAGGTCACATGGATGGTCAGGACAGAGCCGACGTCGGGAGTGGAGCATCTGACTCCAGAGCCCTGTTCTCTGCCACACTCTGCAGGGCCCCCTGCAGGACGGGGCGTTTTAGCTGAGTCCCAGGGTTCCTGTCTACACCACACCCTGCTCCCCTGTTATTAACACCTCGCATCAGCCTGGGACATGCACCACAAGAGGACGCCAGCATTGGCACATCAGTGTTCTCCAGACACCACGCTTTGTCCAGATTCCTGAGTATTCCCTTATCCTGTTCCAGGACACCGCAGCACATCATAAGCTGGGACAGTCTGGGGACTTTCTTTGTGCCGGATGACCTTGTGAGCTCTGAGGAGGGCTGGCCAGGCATGCTGGAGGATGTCTCTCCCATGTGGGTCTGTCCGATGTTCTTCTGGGCATCAGATGGGGCTGGGGATTCTTGGGAGGAGGGCTGCAGGGATGAGTGAGATGCCTCACACTGGGCCTGGCCATCGGCAGACTCGCCACTGATGGCGCTGCTCTTCCCAGCCGGGGTCCTGTGTGTCAGGCTCTCCCTGGTGGAGCCACACTCTTCTCCTTTCCACACTGTCCTCTAGGAAGAAAGTCACCAGGCACAGCCCACGCTTGAGGGGTAGAAGTTAACACCCACCTCGAGCATGGAAGAGCCACATCGACGATTTGGAATTCTTTAGCGTGGAGAGGTTTGTCTCTTCCCCTCCATGATTTACTCATTCAATCATTTATTTATGTTAATGCGAGCTCATGAATATTTGACACTTTACTTGTAATCGGAGACTGTTCTGAAATTTTGTTGCTCAAACAGCTCCAGCTCTGGCCCCGGGAAGCCCCGTCAGCTGGGCCTTGTGTCCCTGTGCCATGCCCCCATCATCCTTCTCCTTCCCAAGGTTCTGCTTCTTCTTATGTTTTTTTGAAACAGAGTCTCGCTTTGTTGCCCAGGCTGGAGTGTAGCAGTGCGATCTCAGCACACTGCAGCCTCCACCTCCCAGGTTCGAGCAATTCTCTTGCCTCAGCCTCCTGAGTAGCTGGGATTATAGGTACCCACCACCACACCTGGCTAATTTTTGCATTTTTAACAGAGACGGTGTTTCACCATGTTGCCCAGGCTGGTCTCAAACTCCTGATCTCAGGTGATCCAGCCGCCTTGGCCTCCCAAAGTGCCGGGATGACAGGCATGAGCCACGGTGCCCCACTTGCCCCTCCCAAGTTTCTGCATACGCTGCGCGTGGGTTCCCCGGATAACCAGAAGAAGGAAGGAAGTCCTCGGGCTCATTCATCATCCATTCAACTTTGACCCCCACATCTGGCTCCATCTATGCCATTTGCTCAGGGAAGCCTCAAATTCCCCTCATTAAAGCACCTTCCCCATGATACAGTTTTCCAAATGTTCCAACCAGGCAACTATGTGTCTGCCCTCCTAATTGGCCTATGCGCCATTTTTGTACCTTGAGAAAAAACAGGGCTGACACGGAGCTGGCCGTGAGTCCTGCCCGACGGATGCATCCAGGAACAAGCGGATGAGCGATGCCAGCTCAGTCTGCGAAGTCCTAAGGGAATTATTTGTTTGCTTTTCAGCTTTGGGAGGAAAACAGTATCAACATTTAAGCAGCCGGGAGAGCAAAACTCATAGAAAAACCTCCTCCACCTATTCGTCTTCACCACTTAAAGTTTTGCACATGAATGAAGGCTCGTTCGTTCGTTCGTTCATTCATTCATTCAGTCATTCTTCCACATTGCAAAACCACATGGTCCAAGCAAGAATTTAGGTAAACACGGGGCTCTGCGGAGTACCCAGGTGCTGGGCAGGTACAAAGGCAGGTAGGAGGGCTTCCTGGAGGTGGTGACACCCAGTTGAGTCTTGAAGAATGGATGGAAAATGGACTGGTAGACCTGGGGGATGGGGCTTCAGGCACAGAGGACAGCATGACCTTCAGGGCAAGCAGGTGGGGGTCCCTGCCCTGCCTCTCGTCCAGCCTCACCTCCCACCCCTCAGGCTCCTGGCATCACAGCCATGGCAAACTCCTTGTGTGCCTCCAATTAGTGGAGGCCGTTTGCATCCCGATGACCACTTGCACGTGTACTATTCCCTCTGGGTGGAATGTATGGTGGGACCAAGACACCCCACCCCTGCCACTGGTGACTCATAGCCAAACCT